TGTCAGGGAACTAATAATGATATTAATAACGATAATAATGATAAACACGAACATAAGCAGACTTCATATATTAAGATATGTATCAGGCTTTTTATGATTGAGAATAAAGCAATCAATTTGTGATATAGATTGTTTTCCTACGCTCACCACTCAGACTCACGTTCCCAATATTATGCTGGATTAGCTATTCTACTAAGACAACCTATAACATACTAACTCCGACTCTTACACTAGGATTGTGTGGCTGGCATCGAATGAACAAAAAACGAAAAAAAGTTAGACAACAAAAGATATAGTCATTAGTAATCTTAACACTTCACCCTCTGTATACACACCCTTCTAATAAACCTCTTTCCTTGTACCAGCCTTGACTTCCTTTTCTTCATGTGAGCTTACTACAACTCGTTAAACGACACAACTCATTGTTCTTTATTACTACATTCTCTAATATGGAGCCTCTGACTTCATTTCACTCTAACAAGAGATAATATGAATTTATTCTAATTTATTATACCTCTATCTGTTCTACTACACAATGTTGAGCAACGTTTGGCGTTCATATCCTAGTGCCTTGCTGCTCTTCTGTTCCTCTTTTTCTTCTTCAGAAATTCACTCTGGGGGAACAGCTATGAAAATTCCGACGTCTGGAACAAACTTAACGTACGCGTCCCCTCAAGGTCACAGTTTACAGCAAGCGCTCTACGGGTATACTTTATATCAACTATAAACTCAATAAGTTGCGAAGCATTTTGTGAACCAACAAATGCCGTAATTTATAGATCATGCCTTTGAAAATGGCGTGTACCTGCGCATGCAGAAATATATATTATTATCTATCCACTACTAGTCTGGTTTCTTCTATCAATAGAACAAAGGATAACCGCCGGCACAAAATAGTCACGTTAGACATGATAAAGAGACAGTAAGATGGATTGAGAATCGCTGGCCTGTCCAGTCTTACTTAGACTAAATGCATACATCACATGTTGATAAAAGTTCCTATTACTTTGCGGCTACACTAACACGTGGTTGGTAATCTCACTGACATATCATACAAGAGCATTTGTAAGCAACTATTAAATTTTGAAGAACCGTGATAGCTGAGTATAATCGGTTTTTGGTGTAAATAGATGTGGTGAGTCAAATTTAAGTACGAATCAACATTGAGATAAGAAAGTGAATATTCGCTGTGATTGACAGACTTATTCAATAAAAACTAGCTCTCAAATACATAGATAAAGTTAATGGTTGTTGATTGCGTTAATTAAGGTATAAATCGCCATTGTAGATCACGAAAGTGATCAGTTTATATAATTTTGGTTAACTATAGTTGGGTGGGAATGGTGAAATCTCTTAGCTCATGTCAAAGTTACTCCTCGTCGTTAATACTTAACCTCGGTTATCCTATTGTAATAGTCAGGTTAAGTGAATTTCTAGGTGACTGGCCTGTATAAATTGTCTCAATTAACAACAGCTTATATTAGTGAAAACAGGTCGTAACAGTAGAAAGAAAAGCCAGTATCACATCTTTCCATGGCGCGTAGTTCGCAAAATTGTATACGTCATTCTTTAACCCGAATTATGTCTGATAGACTGTCTAACTTTAGTGATACGTCGACTGACGTAGAAGGGGTTCAACCTGACTTTTTTAATGTTCAGTGATGCTTCACTGCATTTCAGGTCTCTCAGCTGGATCAAAGCAAGAAATATTAACGCCCTTCACTACACACAGTATTCTATCACATGTTCAGGTTCCCAAAATATCATGCCGGTTAGATAAACAAATCAAGAGAGACCATTAAAGGATTCATTGAAAACCCGGAGTTATTCATCAGTTATCAAGACAGTGGATAACGATCAGAAATCTACCTGCTAAAAAGTACAGAATATAATGTAACATATGTGAAATACTTTCATATCATATCACAGTTTCGACAATCAGGATTTCCAAACTTCTCACTGTAGTAGATTAGATTTACTAATTCAAGGAATATCTGAAACCTGGATATCTTCTCAGTTCTCGGACCAAGAGTTAGCATTACCAGGGATGACTTTGTTCCGCAACGACAGAACAACAGGAATTGGGGGCGCAGTAGCCATATACATAAGCTCTTGCTTGGATGTGCACCAAGTTCACAACCTCGAGTTTAACAATCTTAAGAAATCCATATGGTGCTCTGTAAGATTGTCTAGTACTTCGAGGTGTCAAGTCGGTATCATTTACAGGAGGCCAACTGCCGACATCGAGTACGATAGTCGTATGCTGGAAGGACAATCCCGCTCTACCCGTCTCGGTTTCACACACATCCTAATTCTAGGGGACTTTAATCTCCCTAGAGTCAACTTCGCGGAACACACGTACACTGGAGGCGACAACCCGGTTAAATCTCGGTTCTACAACCTCATTGATGACTTGGGATTGTACGAAAATGTGAGGTCGGCAACTCATTGGAGAAACAGTCAGACACCATCGCGGTTAGACTGTGTATTCACAAACGAAGAATTCCTAGTTGACAACCTCTCAATCTTGGCTCCTCTGGGAAAGAGCGATCATGCCGTCATAGCCTTCAGTTTTGTCATCAAAACTAAGCTAAGGTATCCCAACAATAATTTGCGTTGGAATTTTAAACGGCTAAATGTGCCAGCTCTACATGACTATCTACAACAGGTGGTTTGGGGTGTTCACCCTCAACTCGATGTGGACGGTCATTGGGACTACTTACTGTACACGCTCTTATGTACTACAAACCATTCAGTTCCTCAAACGGTTCCCAAAAGCTGTAAGCCACCTACAATAATCAAGAACCGTATCTTTACCTGCTAAGCCGCAAAAAGCACTGTTGGGCGGAATACAAACTAACTAATAACGACGGAGCGTATAGGCACTATAAACATATCAGGAACATATGCACGAAGGCTATAAGAGAAGACAGGCTTCAGTACCAGACAAAGCTTATGGACAAATTTTCCTCGAATCCTAGAAGCCTATTCCGTTATGCAGCCTCTTTTCGTCAAGCCAAAACAAGAGTTTCTCAACTGGTAGGTCTTAACGGCCCAACCAACAACGATGGTGACGCCGCTAACCTTCTAGCGGCACATTACTCTCAAACATTTCAGCCGGCTGACATCAACTCTATTGACGACAGTTTCATCTGCAATTCCACAGGGCTTTCCGAAGTGAACCTAAGCTCTGACTTGGTTCTCCGGAAACTGCAGCACTTAAGACTAGATACTTCTCCTGGCCCGGATATGGTTCATCCTGCCATACTGAGGGAGGCAGCCTTAATCCTGGCAACGCCGCTTAGCGTGATGTTTTCACACTCGCTAAGCCGAGGCAAATTACCGGAAAATTGGAAGTTGGCTCACATCACACCAATTTTCAAAGGGGGTCGACGCAATGAACCTTCAAGTTATCGGCCGGTGGCTCTTCTGTCATTACCTTCAAAACTCATGGAGTCCCTGATATGCGATAGTTTAAACGATTATCTACTGTCCTTAAACTTCTCACCCCAACAGCATGCTTTCAGGAAGGGTTAATCTTGTATAACCAACCTGCTGACTGCGGTGGACAGATGGACAAGCATCCTCGATCGCAAGGGAAAGGTTGATATCATCTACCTTGATTTTTCAAAAGCTTTTGATAAAGTTAACCTCTTGTGTCTTATCAATAAGGTCAAACGGCTAGGTGTCAAACCACCTCTAATCGATTGGCTTACTTCATACCTAGAAAATCGACACTTTAAGGTCAGTGTTAATTTCACTTCATCTCAGGGTATGGAATGTACTAGTGGGGTCCCCCAGGGCTCAGTATTAGGGCCTCTTCTCTTCTTGATCTACATAAACGATCTTCATCAACAGGTAACGTCAGACTTATTACTTTTTGCCGACGACGTGAAACTTTGGAGAGAGATACGCAACCAAGACGATACACAGGCACTTCAGGAGGATCTGACTTGACTTCAAAGTTGGGCAGACGATAACGGACTTACCTTTAACACTTCAAAGTGTAAAGTAGTCCATCTGCGACAAGTCGCTAACTACAGTTACAACTTAGGAAACTCTTCTCTCGTAGTATCCTAAGTCGAAAAAGATTTAGGAGTCCTGGTGCCACATGATTTAAAGTCTTACGCTAATTGTGACAATAATGCCTTCCGAGCAAACCTTGCACTGGTAACGTTGAAGCTCATTTTTGGACAGTTCGACGGAAGAACTTTCCATACAATCTTCAATAGTTTTATCCGTCGCCATTTAGAGTACGGAAATATAGTACTCCTCCCTCACTCCAAAAGGACAAGGTCACTTTGGAGTATATCCAACGGCGAGCCACGAAATCAGTTCGAGGACTCAAATCTAAGCCTTACGAAGAACACCTTCATTCACTAGACCTTTACCCAGAAACTGGAAACTCAACATAGCAAGACGGGATGTAGACACAACTTCTACTTCTTAAGAGTTGTCAAAAGCTGGAATTCGCTGCCAGCCGAGCTAGTCCAAGCGACTTCTCAGGAGTCGTTCAAGAGGCAACTTGACCTAATGTTAAGGACCAAGGACAGTATCGCACTATGATTTACCAAGTTCTTGTCCTCTTTTATTGTTAACATACCTAGGTTCCTGCCTGGAGGATTTGGTGATCCCCTGCTACTAGACACGGAAGCCTGTTAAACGAAAGCTTCTTCTATTCCGTCCACAACCATTTGAACCTCTACTTTTCACTCACTCATCCAAATATTTTTCTCATCATTCTCTTTTTCAGATTCTCCGACATACAGTTCTTTACCATTCCATCAGACACACAACCAATCTTCAGACTAGATATACATTTAGAACTTGAATGTCACAGTAATGTGTGACGAATTTGAAAAAAACCTTAGTAATTATCTCAGGCTTTGCCTACTTACAGTTTGGATAGGCATTTTCTAGCTTTGAAATAAGATGTTTTTTCCTTAAATCTTCCCGAAGTTTGTTTTTTCACTCCGATTATCAAGGTTGACGTGCTGTAAACAATGCGAAGTTCCAACTAAGATTATAATGTACAGGTGTATTTCCGGTAGAGCATCGTCACTTATTCTGTTTGTTTTGAACGGATTTTCCATAGTAATACTCGTATCTTAAATCTTAGCTGATTTTTAGCTGTTTGGGGTTGCCTTAATATCCCTTGGGATAGTATGTGTCGTTGACCATGGAAATATGTCTGAAGTTGTTGGAACCTCACTCTATTCGTCTGGAGTGTATATAGTCATCTTCTTAGGACTTGTTATTACAATCGTAGCTCTATGTGGTTACATCGCAGCTGATAGAGAAAATATCTGCTTGATTGTGTCAGTAGGATTTGCATATAATCAAATTTCGACGATTTGTAGTATATATTCATTTTATGCTTACTCGCATTACTCTTGTTGATATCAGGAATAATAGTTTTGTCCTTTAAAAGTTCAGTGAGTGAAGTTTAAAACTTTTCAGTCACGTATTTTACAATTTAGCTTGGTGAATCGGCTAGAAGTGTGATGGTTGCTTCGTTAAGGAATCACTATGGACGGTATGGGATAATAACTGATGCATGGGACTTGGTACAGAGACACCTACGTTGCTGTGGAGTGGATAACATTGGATGGGGTGTGTATAACGGGTCGTGGTGGGACATGATTGTAAACTCGGATTTATACGAAACGAACACTAAATTGTCAGGTATATAAAGACTACTTCATGATTGATATATGATAAAGAATCAAGTTTGTTTTACTTGTTTGTTCCAGAATCTTGTTGTGTCAAGAAACTTGATGGATTAACTGGTTGGCCAACTGAAGTATACCGGGATAGGAGACGCTGTCAGACGTGGCAGTACGGACCACCGAATAAAAGCAGTGGACCCCACAACGACGCTATTTACTATGCAGTAGTTTTTTAACAGTTAATATATTAATTTTGTTTAGGGATGCTTTGAAAGTTTGAAAAGTTATATCAATAATTATGCTAAGGCTGTTGGCATCTTGGCACTGATCGCGTGCATTATCTTGGTAAGTTGAATTTTCTCTTAAATCAATCTCTGTACAACCGAAGTATTAGTTATGGAGTTGTAGTTATAAATTAAGTGCCGGTTAGATAGTAAGACAAATACACCAAACCACTAAAACTCTTTGATAAAATACGCACGTATTTGCATCTTACGGAAATTGTATGGACACAAGTTCAGCGATTATATCTGAATGAAAACTTACGAAAATGACGATCCAAACGATGGTGCACAATATATAAGTCAAGGAACTGGTGAGAACCAAGTACTAGTAAACACTGCCAACTTTTTAAGGGGCCTTCATGTGAAGTTTTTTGACTAAATTATCCTTAAGACCACTAAGTATCTAGACAGCCAACTCGCAATACCAATCGCAAAAAAACACTTTACTCGTATGGCTTGACTAATCACAAGATTTTTAGAGAATTATCGGATGAGTAATCTCCAATCCAAATAAAGTTCCAAACACATCTGACAGTAACGGAATTTTTGTATTTTTAAAATCACAAGCTACCGTGAATGACCATGAACTAGCTAACTCGAGGAACGAACAAACTCAAAAACTAGATATGCTGTTACTTCTACAGATTTAATTAAGAACTCATTATCCTAGGTATACTTTGGGACATGTATATATGCTGAAATTTTACATTGCTTTCATAGAAATTATATTCTTCGGTTATCGTCGAAGTCTTTTGCATTCGACAAATGGCGGATTTCGCCCGTTAGCTCATTGGTCGGATATAGTCTTTGTGTTCACAATACCATAACTTACTAATATTTTCTAAATGTACTGTCTCATTTCTTTGAAATCACCAAAAATAAACCTTGATGCATTTCATCGGGAATGTCGAAAGCAATCAAAGTCTACCCCAATCCTTGTACTTTTATTAAGTAATTCTAAACACATAAGCTTGATTCTAATAGGAAAACTACTGTTGCAACCGAGTTAATTTTTACTTTTTCTTAACTAACAAACTCCTATCTCGTAATATTTGAAGTGACACAGAAAATTACACTAGTTGCAACCCAACAAGTAAACATTTCTGTACTTAGCTCAGAGCACAGTATGAATTGACGTTATTAATGCTATCCAGATTCTAAGTTCTTGAACGCTGATTAAATCAAAATAAGTCAACCGTAGTAATCGCCAGATTTCTTATGAATGGTTTGTGACTATTAAAGTCACGGACATCGATGACTGAAATCTATCCAACAAAAATTATGACTGAGATGGAAGGTTGTTATAATTTGAAAAACTAGTATTTACACAAACATGCATATATCATATTATATAAATGTATTGAACTGATTTCGACTAAATTCACATTATAACCGATTTGCAGAATAAAATATTTCTTAATCGATATAATAACTGATAAGATTTGATATACAGAAAAATCTAAGACCAAACGTCTGTATGACCACTATCACTTTTACTGAAATTTGGAAAAATGGTTATACTGGGCTGTTTTTTAATCTAAACGTTCTATCGCTTTACGAACTTAGTTGATTGTAACTGAATGGTAATCGGATGAAACGAAACATTTCAAAAGGCTCTAAGAATGGGACTAATACAACAATCAACAGTGGGAGACCCATTTTAGAGTCGTTATTTGTTGTTAGTTCCTTAGTACTTTAATTTACGGACAAGCAAAGGTGCTTGGATGTTGGATGGAAATTTGTAACTCAGGATGATTTTGGGGGACATTAGTGTTAATAAGATAAATTGTAAGTCATATGTGAAGGAGTCCTAGTAGCTCATTTCTATCTCAAGTTTGTGCTGGTGGTGTTGATCAGAAAGATAGTGAGAGCTTCACAAAGAGTCACTCAGCTCAGAGAGCGCAACTCCATCAAAAATTGCTTGGTTATGCTCTTTGACTTTAATTGATATGTACCAGCGATTTCAGGTTAAACAGGTTGTCTCTGAGCTAATAAATTAGTCTATTGAAACTGATTTTGTGGCGTAGATATTACCTCCGTGTATCACCCTTTTGTCAATCTATATTATTTTGTACTAATTCAATAATTAAGTAGTAGTTTTTGGCGTTGATTACGATCTACTATCTTAGATACGGTTTTCGCAACTAATATATATAATAATTTCTGATTGAATTCCAAAATCCAGATAAGCGCTTTGATCTGTGCATTATTTTTGTTCCGTGATGCTAAACTCAATGCTCAAAGAAAACAAAGAACGAAAAACTGGATGAATCAGATACAATATAAGTAGATCGATTATATGGTTGACTGGAATACGTTGAAGCAAGAGTGAAGCTGTGATTATATATTACTGGAAAGGATTTTAATCATATATAATTTATTTTATTGCTAAAAAGTAAAGTATATTTATTTTCTAAAAATTACCCTTTTTATCTGTTATATCTCCCAAAAATTATCCTCCGAAAATTTGTGAGAATTCCACTTGATTCAATGAGACCATTATATAAAACAAGGGAAGGAGATTAACTTTTTTCCATTTATCAGAACTGGGGTATGGAGATTGTAGCAATTTTACTAGTTGAATTCATGAGTTGATCTAAGCTAGACCACCATTGAAAACTTGGGAGCACTGAACGACCATTTTTTCCTGGCAGTGCACATATACTATCTTGCATGAGGGACTAGAACCCAGGACCTTCGGTCTCGCGCGCGAACAATTAACCTTTATACCACTGAGCCGGAAGCCAATGGCGTTAGTGTCTAACTTCAATCGATCTATGATCATGGGTAAACATCCATCCATTATACATTTAACTAAAACTAAAAATGATTCCGTTTAAAATAACACTTCGTAAGGTTTATAAGACAACATCTTTGAAAGAGGTTCGACTGCAGTAAAGTGTATCGCAATCTTTAAGATGTCCGGATCCATAACGTTGTTATAAATCCTGAGGAAAAAGTTAAACAAAACAACCATTTGGAAGTATAAAATTTATCGTTCACTTAAATATAATACACAATTACAGGGACTGATTATTTACAGATGTGTACAACGGTCATTTTGATCTCTTACCAAAACCACCAAATCCCATAGCTGCTGCGACGTCAGAATCTTCAAACTGTTCATCACTTCTACGCTTTTTCTCTTTGCGTTTTTCTTGTTTATAAGCTCTAAATTTCTCTTCTTCCTCGGCAATTTGTTTCATTCTTTCATCTAAACTGTACTCTTCCGCCTTTTCTTCGGATTTTTGCTTGTGAAGCTGAAACCTATGGCAGAGTTATAATACCACAGTAATACCTTTCTTTAACTTCTTCTAAAGTTGACCTTTTAATCCTCATTGACATTCCCATATTCCTTTGATGTTTTTTACCGTTTATATGGTCCAAATAGTTAATTGAATCTTTCACAACACAGTCACAAACTTCACAGTAGTAGCCTGCTTGTGAAGATCCTGGTCCGGTCTTTGCAATAACTTGAGATTTGTTCAGGTTAGATTCCAGGTCAATCTGTATGATATAATTTTTATAGTTTTAGGAAGACTTACTGTATAATCACGAGCTTTTAAGTACTCCTTTTTCATAGTTTCCTTTTCTTTTCGAGCATTTCGCATAGCCTCCAACTCATTGCTAAGTTTATCACTCGCCAATTTCTCAAAATGAGCTTTGTCCCATTTTCTTCTGTGGTCAACAGGATTCTAAAAAGGAAGTCTTTTCCACTCATCATACTTACGGTACCGGCCATTTTAACAAGAAAATACTTGACTGTCGAGATGCTCTAAAAGGAAAGCTTCATTTAATGAATGCTGAGATTGGAATCGATAGTTTCAAATAAATATATTTTTGTGATACCCGATGATTAGAGAAATGTATTTCTAAAGTTTCGTGACTTGAAGTAAGTCAAATTGCGAGCATGACTTACATCCAAGAACATAAAAATTTTAAAGTAGCACTTAACTCCATTGATCGACAAGATTTTATGAGTGTCATGCCAAATTATATTACCCGAGTACAGGCTTTCTATTTGAACACAAGTGGTGTTGGTCGGGGTTGTCCGCTTGGCCCATTTATATTTGACTTTGTCATAAACATTTGTTTAAAGGCAACGCTCTCATCGTCTGACTTTGCAGGAATAAATCTATCGGGAGACTCACTTGTCGAGTTGGAATATACAGATGATAGTCCAATTCAGTGAAAATACTGATATAATATAGAGTCTTCTGACCGTCTTGAACAACAGTGCTAACATTTACGGTATACGTCTCACTCCACCAAAATGTCGCTTCAGGACGTATTTATTTATCTAAACACATGAAGATTGATACAAGGAAGCACCCTGTACCTGTATTCACACTAGGTAGCGAGCAGTTAGAATTAGTCAAGACGTTCGTGTATCTAGATAGCTGTGTAAGTCTTGGTGGTGGCGCCAGTGATGAAATTAATTCACGTATGATCAAAGCCAGAGCATTTTATGCCAACCTTGGCCATCTTTGTTGCCTCCATAATGCTAATGTCTGTAGAAGGTCGAATCTACAATGCGTCGGTGAGAGCAGTTTTGTTCTATGTTTATAAAGCATGATCTCTTCACGTTGAGCATGTCGAGCGACTCTCTGCGATCGGTCATGGTTTCTCTGAAGGGTTGCTATCGTTTAATGGAAACACCATGCTAGTAATGTGGAGGTTCGGGAACATGTGTTCAGCAACAGTGACGATAATTCAATTAATGTCACCATATTGAAATACCGACAGCCGTGGTTTGTACATGTGGCAGGGATGTAGTCCCAGCAAATTACACATTTTGGATTGTTTTCTGCCGCTGATTAATTTGAAAATCAGAAGGGTAGTGTATGACATGGTGTCGTGATAATTTTAACATGCGTCAGTCTAATTGTTAATGACTTAATAGACTGACGCCAAGGTTTGATCGTCCCTGGTTTTCTACCAGCCTACTAAAAAACTAGCAAACATCGCCTCGCGGTAAGCGGTAGTTGACACAGGTAATACAGGTCCCAGCCACGTCAGCTGATGAAGATTCACAAGAAATAAGCCAATTTCTCATTCCTAGTGAGTTCTTTACTCCTAACATAGGCAATCTTTACTCTCTAGTTCAAAAATATAAGACCAATCCTTCGAGTACTCTCAGTTATTGTAGCTAGACAGTCTGTGTAGTTCCCTGTAAACTGGAATGATCAGAGATCAAAACCAGTCGGATGGGATTACGCACAGTCCACAGATTCTAGCTAAGATTTCAGTTAATCCAACTGCTAAAACTGGACTACCATCCGTAAATGTCTCAGGGCTTAGTCCATCAAACTCGGCTGATCTCCCTATCTTTAGATTACTTAGTCTTTTCAACCTCACTGAGTAGGACGACTTACATCAGTTTGCAATCCAGGCTACTTGGAGATAGTGAGTAACTAAAGTGTGACCGAAAGCTAGTTGAACTGTCCCCTAAGGTGTTCTCCATATTGATCCAATCTCATGGATTGAGAGTGAGAAATATTCCTGTCTTTTCCCGAGGTAGTTTCACTAATAGCCAGATTTTTAATACTGGTCTCCTCGATAACTCTGAATAGTTGTCTGTTGCTACCTATCGCCGCAGATTTTCCGTCTCTTTTGCTTTTGTTACCCGCCATTGTTCACGACCACTGTGTAGGCTTTTAGCCAGCCTACGTTTGGGCTATCTCAGCCTCTCATTGTGTTCGAAGCCAGATAGGATGAGATCCTTAGCATCTATCAGTTCTGTAGACGTCGCTGAAATCGGCTGGTTGTCCCTAACATTTTTGTTTAAGTTTCTGGTAGTTATCACTGCCGTTTCCACAGCATTTCGTTTAGCGTATCAAGCTATCTCGGGGTGGATATCATTTTGACGGTTGACTAGCAGTTGTCCCTGAAATATATTTTTGAATTTTCCAGGACAAAGTAGAACTATTAGTAGTTTTCCTGCTGCCACTGTCTTACGTTCAGTAATACCCTCAAGTGCCCTGGTACGATCGAGGGTGTGGAAAGTCCGTTCTCCCTCTCGAAATACTCTCACATGGCCACGCGTATACAGCCACTGCCGGGGAAATCCTATTCACTGCCTTCTCGTGGCTGGGGTGTTGCTTACGAAATTAATAGGACGAAAAGCGATTGTCCAGCGCTTTAATAGGGTTGGTGGTTATCGAGGATCCTTCCAGTGGGAGTTGGAAAACCCTGATTTCAAATTAGTGGGGCAAATGGGCTCCGGGACTCTGAGGGAACAAATGGCATATGAACCTATTCTTGATCTCCGGCTACCATGGGACTGTATCCCCTAACGTTATTCCACTGCCTCGTAGATCAAACCTTTAGGTAGAAGGCTTCGGGTGTAGCCCCCTAAGGAAGCCACCTGCTTCGTTTTGGGCACCCAGACATTATCACAGCCCGCACACAAATAAGTGGTAAATACGAATAACCTCATTGTTGTTGTATAGCGTATATGTATTCGGCGCTCCCTTGTATCAATATATATGTGTTCAAATAAACGAATAAAAATAAAATAATAACGTTCAGTAAGACGCAAACAAATAGTGCTCGTACTAAAGCATGATCTGAGTCCAAATATGTAGGCCGGAATGAGTGGTAGTCTTCTATTTATTTACTTATCTATTCGAACACAAACATTGGTACAAGGGGGGCACTAAATACAAGCGGGCCACAAAATGACAGTGAGGTTGTGAAGAGACAGAGGAGGGTGGATATAACAATAAGACCACAAGTTAATAGGAATCGGTAAGTGAGAGTGAAATAATAATAATAATAACAACGGAAGAAGCAGTTCAATTAGAAGAAATACAAACAGAAAGGATTCTTTCGACTAGAAAGTTACGTTCACATTTATGAGGAAAGTAAAAGAGAGTTACAGCAGGATCGTTACTGCATTCTATTCTGAGCCATGTCTGATAACGTCTGAAGTCACTGTGTTGCATCATGTCTGGGGCAACCACAGCAGAAATTTACATAGGTAAATGGGATGTTCGGACAATGTGGAAGATTGGGAGGACCAATAAAATAGCTGAGGAAATGAGGAGATAGAATTTGGTGGTCCTTAGAATCAGTGAAACCCATTGGATCCAAAATTGGACAGAAAAGATTAAATTAGGGAGATGTACTTTTGTACTCTGTTCACGGAGAAAATGCTCGTCACACACAAGACGTTGCTCTAATGCTGTCCAAAGAAGCGCAAAAAGTACATGTAGGATAGAAATCTCATGGATTCAGGTTCATCAAAGCATGTTCGAAAGTAAAGCAGGGGATCACACTCGATGTCATCTAGTGCTATGCACCCACCAATGATAACACCTTGGTGTACCCGGGCAAATCGTCAACATCATCCGAGATTCACACGATGGACCACGCTGCAAAGTCGTGCATGGATGACAACTGGCAAATGCAT